TTATTCGCTAATGATCAATCAGTTGCAATATCTTCGTCAACGATCAAGCGTCTGCAACATCTTCGCCAACAATAAATTGGTTGCAACTTCTTCGCCAACGATTAAGTGATTGCAACTTCTTCGCAAACCATCAAGCGTGTGCAATATCTTTGCCAATGATCAAGCTTGCAATATATTTGCCAATGATCAAGCAGCTACAATTCATTCGCCAAGGGTCAAGCGATTGCAACTTCTTCGCTAACGATTAATCACCTGCAATATTTTCACCAACGATCAATCGGCTGCAACATTTTCGCCAACCATCAAGCACAGATCAAGTTTGAGGGATGATATTTATCATGAGGGGCACAACCTAATTTGATAGTATATGCCCCAGTGACCATCCTTCATTCTGCTACAAAGCTAGCGTTCAATAGGGTTAAGCGTCATATCGTCACTCTTGGTAAGGTTGCGTTTTGCAGCGTTACTGTGGTGTCGCCATATTTTTTTTAAGTTTTTTTTTTTATAAAAACTTGGACTGAACTTAAAGATTTCTTTAAGCTGCCTACGTATCATAGGAAGAGATCAAGTCATAACGTAGTTCAAATACAATATTATTTTTTTTGGGACGTTCACCTTTTAAACTCACGCGGGCCAGTAGTATCATGTAGTTTAGACTCTTACGATAAGGAGTGTTGTATTTCAAATGCTCTCATTTTCATTACAACTTCTATATCCTCCATTTTTAGGATTGGTTGAGATGAAAAACTTTTGTTTTACTTTTAAGGAATCTTCTGTATTTATGAGAAGGGAGAATTTTCTTTTCATACGTGAAGGAACAATGCTGTGAATTTTCTTCTCATCATTCACTTCATCGGATGATTTTGCTTCCACGGTCTTCATCATTCTTTCGTATTGATCGTTTGACACTTCGAGACGATCAAAAACAGATTTCAAAGATTGATTTTTCTTTAACGTGGAGATGCTTAGCCTTTGAAATACTGAAGATCGAGTGGGGATGTATGTAACACATTGACTTTCCTCTTTTGCAGTGGTCATACTCATCCTCTGAAAGACTGAAAGTCGAGTAGCTGAAGGCTTGATGCGATCGAATACAGAAGTCATTTGCTCAGTTATTTTAGAGTTGTCAATTTCTTCCACATTTATGTAATGTGAACTTGCAAGATAGAATAATTTTTTTGGGGAGAATTCTTTTAAGGTCGCCGATATCTGGGGTCTAAAGGAGTCTTTATTTTCTTTCCTCTCTGATTTAGGCTTCCTTGAATCCTTCCTTCATTGGTGTTCATGCTCTTTGCTGAGCATAGATAACTTCTTCCGAGCAAAATTTTGTTTTTGTTTCTTCTGACGAGTCACAAGAGTCCAGTTTTCCTCTCCCTGATCGACAGATTTGACAACATCTTTAATGGCATTTCTTGAAGTCTTCCGTTGAGAGCGAACACATATAGGCTTCAACGTTCCAAATTGGATCAAGTCTATCCCCTTATTGTAGAATAGACTTTGAGGTGTTTGGCTGCCTATATTTGTTGTTACTGCAGCGTGATTTGATTGAGCTATTTCATTGAAATCCAACTCAATCTTTCCTTCTCGAGCTAAATTTAGGATACGCTCTTTAGGACAAAACACTTTTCCACTAGATGACTGATAACTCGGTGGTACTTGCAATATTTGGGATCATCAACTTTACTCATTTCTTTTGGTCGTATACACTCTGGAAGTACAATCAATCGTGTTTCCAGCAATTGTTCCAACATATAAGGGATGTCGGAATCAGGAAAAGGATAGACTTTCTCTTGTCTTTCTTTCAAGCTTAGCCATCTTTTCATATTTCCTTTTCTCAATTCTCTTTCCCTTTATTTTTGAAAACAACCTGGGAGAGATTGTGTTTACACCAAAAAACTCATTTGAAGTTTTCTCAACACTTTTGCTTTCTTTCTCTAAGTCCAGCACTAAAGAATCCTTACTTCCTCGATTAGCAATGCTTAGCTCCATATCGCGAGCACGAGTTGCTAGTTCTTCAAAGGTGCAAGGTTTTATACCTTGAAGGATGTAAAGAAGTTCCCAATGCATACCTTGAGTGCATAATTCGACAACGGATAGTTCAGTAAGTCTATCTTTGCAATCAAGCCTTAGAGCATCGGTTGATATATTCAACAACCGTTCGCCTTTTCTTTGTTTGGAGTTCGTGAGCTCCATCATGCTGACAGTTCTCTTCGTATTGTAAAAGCGATTTAGGAATTCTCTTTCAAGCTGTTCCCAACTCTCGATCGTTTCAGGCTCGAGATCAGTATACCAGTCAAAGGCGTTTCCCTTTAATGTTCGGACGAACTGCTTGACCAATTGATTGCCTCTTGTACCAGCATTCTCACAAGTTTCGACAAAGTGAGCAATATGTTGTTTGGGATTGCCCTTCCCATCGAAATGTTGGAATTTTGGAGGTTGGTATCCAGGAGGTATTCTCAGATCATTAATTCTCTTAGTATATGGCTTAGAATACAAGAGGGAACTTTGAGAAGATCCGTCGTATTGCGCTCTGATTGTGTTCGTGATCATATCTTGGAGTTGCTGAACAGACAGTGAAGCGATCGAAGTGGAATATTGCGATTGATTTTCTTGAGCGATAGTCTTTCCCTTGTCATTTATCTTGAGAGTAGGGGTTTGACTCGACTCAGCAACATCTCTGCTTTCAATCTGATTCTTCAGGTAAACGATTTCATAATCTCTTTCTTCCACTGTCTTCATCAATGCAGCGAGCTTCTTTTCCATTTCAGCCATTTTTTCATTCATAGTATTTGCATCAGTCATCATAACAGAGACAATGTCAGGACTATGATCAAATAAGGGGTTATGATTAACAAGAAATTTATCTTCCAAAGATGTTTCTTGTGGCATCATTACTTTGTTTGCAACAACAGGAGGAGTTTGATGTTCCCGTAGTTGGAATTCATCAGAGCAACCATATGTGATATGACCCGTATGAAGGTTACTCATGTAAGCAGCTGTTGTAGAAGCCTTTTTAAATTCCATTGATTTTCATGAAAAACTTTAAGTCTATAGAAGGAGATGAGAGGTAGAGATGGTCCCACCGGGCGTGCCAATTTGTTCACACGAGATTTCCGGAGAAATTATCTTTCGTGGAGTTGAACTTTTATATTTGAAGTATGTGTTGTATAGTGGATTCAATCTCTAATCTTTTATCCTCTCATTTTTTCTCTCGAACTTGATGTGAAGATTGAGATGCTTGTTTTTGAATTTGGATCGAAGTTATATGTACTTCGAAAGTTTTCAAGTCTTCAAGTTGGTTTTCGAATCTTCAAGTCTTCAAAGAGTCTTCAATTTGGTTTGAATTCTCTCAATTCTGAAAAATCTGAACCTCTAAAATGAATGAGATACCCTCTATTTATAGAGGTTTCCATAGGCTTTGGTGGGCCATTGGGCTTGGGTAATTTTGGGCCAAGCCCAATTCTTTAAATAGATTTATTTAAATTTAAATATTAATCCACTTTATTTCATGCTAAATTGGGTTTTGGGCCAAGTTTGTGAACCAAATCGATTCCAAACCCAATACTCATATGACCCAATTACATATTTTAATTGTCAAATTATCTTTAATTTTAATTTAGGGTTAATATATAATTAATCCCTAAATAAAATAGATAATTGATTGGCTCAAATTTTTTTGTTCTACAGAAATTCATACACTAACTGGTCTCTGCTTTTAAAAGGGAACACTTCTGTTTTTTTTTTATCTGCTTTTTTCCATTACAATTTTAATACGTCACTTCACTCACAAAATTTATTGAGATGTAGCAAAATTGCATTGGAGGATTTCAATATATAAAATTTACATCAAAAATTTTGAAATAAAGACAAAATAGTCCATTTTTAAAAATATAGAGACTAAAATGAACATTTTGCAAATATAGAGACTAAAATAAATAAAAGATAAAAATTTGACAAAATTTTTGAAAATACATCAACTAAAATAATATATAAACAAAATTTCTAATATTCTTCTAATGTCCAATCCATCCATTCACCTAATAAGTATTTTCTTTTACAAATAATTTAGTAATACTATTGGATTTCTCTTTTTCTTTTAGTCCACTAAATTTAAGTGGAATGTCAAGCTTTTAATCCAAAGAACAAAATAACTGTCTTATTTATTGAATAATGTTCAGATTGATTATATCATTTTTAATTGATATTGATGTGGGACAAAAACGAACACAGTTGAGTGATAATTGACATATATCTCCAATCAAAATGTTGTAAGTTTGATCATTTTCCCACACACGTTGTACTAAAAAAAAAGGATATCGATGGGGGACAATTAGGCCAATACTCATATTATAACTTTTTAAGTACGAAACTAATGACTTGTAATAGAAAAATGAACGAATTTTAACCTAATGATTAATGAACACCCATATAATATAAAACTAAACTTGATTACATGGCAGTTTTATAATCTGTGCATGGCCAAAACTTTTGAAAATCTAAACATTGCAGTAAATTATGACGTTATAATATAACAATGCAGGGGCCCCACAAGAGACAAACAAAAATAATAATTATTATTATTATAACTCTTAAAAAATTATCAATCTTTTGACTTTATTGCCTTCTCTTTTCAAATTTTTTAAGAAAAAGACTTTATTGCTTTCCAACTACTCGACCGTTTCGGTCAAAAACGACCCGTAGGATCCAATCAGATCTACGGTCCGGATCACTCGACCGTTACAATTTAAATTCTCTTTTGCCCAAACCCCAATGGGCTACTTTTTATCCTCTAAAGCAAATTCTTGCCGTTGAAAAAACGTCCACAAATTTCCTCAAAACCCCCATGAACGAAGAACCCACTTCTTCAATTCCACTTCCAAATTCGCCATAGCTTCCCATGGTTTCTTGATAATTTTCCTTCTACTTGATTTCCTGTTCGTTTTCTGGGTTTGCTCTGATTTAGTGTAGTTTTCTCGGGAAAGTTTACAGATTCGTTCGTTCGACTGAGAAAATGGTGAACAGGGCTTCTTCAACGTCGTCTTCTCCGGTGAAGATTACAGTTTCTTCAGGAAGTAAAGGGGGCGGTGGAATTAGATCTATGGGTTTAACGAGCCCGGTTTCTCGTAGTTCCATTTCGAACAACCCCAATTCCCCTCTCAGTGGCCGAGGAAACAGAGCCTCAAGCGGCGGAAACCGCCGATCGAGCGGAGGGAAGTTCGTTTCGATGTCGAAGGACGATGCTGTTGAAGAGAGTAACACCGAGTTCGTTACGTACACTGTTCATATTCCCCCAACCCCAGATCACCAGTCCATTTCTGACTCCCAAACCAGCCTCCCTGAGGAGAATTCAAACATGGCGAAACAGAGGAGCTTCATTTCTGGTACAATTTTCACCGGAGGTTTCAATTCGGTGACTCGTGGGCACGTGATCGAGTCGCTGATGAACCCGACCGAGCCGATCAAATCGGTGCTTGTTTGTGGGATGAAGGGCTGCGACGAGAAGGCGTTGAAAGGGAAGAAGAAGGTTCCATGTGAGTGTGGGTTCAGCATTTGTAGAGACTGTTATTTGGAGTGTCTCGGCCATGGTGGTGGTCGTTGTCCGGGCTGTAAAGAGCGTTACCAAAGCGTTAGCGATGATGAAGAGGAGTCGGACTCTGAGGCAGAGGACCAAGCTTTGCCATTGCCTTCAATGACTGATCCAAAGCTTGACAAAAGGCTCTCCCTGGTGAAATCATTCAAAGCTCAGAATCACCCGCCCGACTTTGACCATGCCCGGTGGCTTTTCGAGACCAAGGGAACGTACGGGTATGGCAATGCAGTGTGGCCAAAGGATGGGTATGGGTTCGGCTCTGGGGCGAACGGTTTCGAACACCCGCCGGACTTTGGTGAACGAAACCGACGGCCTTTAACCCGAAAAGTCTCAGTTTCGGCTGCCATTCTCAGCCCATACAGGTAAATTTTTTAATTTAATTCCCTTCCTCTTTTGAACTAATGAAGTTTCTGGTTTATTGAATTTGGTTTTGATTAGGATTTCTATTCTGCTTTTTGCAGATTGCTTATTATGATTCGTTTTGTGGCACTTGGTTTCTTTCTAACATGGAGAATTAGACATCCTAATCATGAAGCAATTTGGCTATGGGGAATGTCCATAACTTGTGAACTCTGGTTTGCATTATCATGGCTATTAGATCAGCTTCCAAAGCTCTGCCCTGTGAACAGAGTCACTGACCTCTCTGTTCTCAAGGACCGATTCGAGTCCCCGAATCTCCGAAACCCCAAAGGCCGATCCGACCTCCCAGGAATTGATGTGTTTGTATCGACTGCTGATCCCGAGAAAGAACCTCCCCTCGTGACGGCCAACACCATTCTCTCAATCCTTGCTGTGAACTATCCCGTGGAAAAGCTGGCTTGTTACTTATCAGATGATGGTGGTTCCCTTCTAACATTTGAGGCACTTGCTGAGACAGCCAGCTTTGCCCGAGTCTGGGTTCCATTCTGCCGAAAGCACGGGATCGAACCAAGGAACCCCGAGGCGTATTTTGGGCAGAAGCGTGACTTTCTTAAGAATAAAGTCCGGCTCGATTTCGTTAGAGAGAGGAGGAGGGTGAAGAGAGAGTATGATGAATTCAAGGTAAGAATCAACTCATTACCAGAGTCTATAAGGAGAAGATCAGATGCTTATAATGCCCATGAAGAACTGAGAGCAAAAAAGAAGCAAATTGAGATGGGGGGAAATCCCTCAGAACAAATCAAGATTTCTAAGGCAACTTGGATGTCAGATGGCTCTCACTGGCCCGGAACTTGGGTTTCTGGTGAAACCGATCACTCTAGAGGAGATCATGCTGGTATAATTCAGGTAATTTCTTCTCGATTTTAACTGAATTGTTCATTTATAAGTCCGCGAAATCTCGAAAAGAAGCATGAGATTTTTGTTTATCTTCTTCCTGCAGGCTATGCTAGCTCCTTCAAATGCAGAACCAGTTTATGGATCAGAAGCAGATGGGGAGAATTTGATTGACACAACAGAGGTGGACATCAGATTGCCAATGCTCGTTTATGTATCTCGTGAGAAGCGGCCAGGCTACGACCACAACAAGAAAGCCGGGGCGATGAATGCCCTTGTCCGAACCAGCGCGATTATGTCGAATGGCCCGTTCATTCTCAATCTTGACTGTGATCACTACATATACAACTCCTTGGCTTTGAGGGAGGGGATGTGCTTTATGCTTGACAGGGGTGGTGATCGGATTTGTTATGTGCAGTTCCCGCAAAGGTTCGAGGGGATCGACCCGAACGATCGGTATGCCAATCATAATACTGTGTTTTTTGATGTGAGTATGAGGGCTCTTGATGGGTTGCAGGGGCCAATGTATGTGGGGACCGGCTGCATTTTTAGGAGGACAGCTCTGTATGGATTTAGTCCTCCTCGAGCCACTGAGCACCACGGCTGGTTCGGTAGTCGAAAAACAAAGCTGCTTCTAAGAAAGTCGAGGGTATCGAAGAAGGAAGATGATGAGATGGCAGCTGCAATCAATGGAGACGATCATGATTGGGACGAGGATGCAGACATTGAGTCCTTGCTTCTGCCAAAGAGATTTGGGAACTCTACTTCTCTGGCTGCATCGATCCCGGTCGCTGAGTTTCAAGGAAGATTGCTCCAAGAACTTCAAAGCAAGGGCAATCAAGGTCGACCGGCTGGTTCCCTCGCTGTGCCTCGAGAACCATTAGATGCCGCCACTGTTGCTGAGGCCATCAGTGTCATATCTTGCTTCTATGAAGACAAAACAGAGTGGGGAAAAAGAGTAGGATGGATCTATGGCTCTGTAACAGAGGATGTGGTAACTGGCTATAGAATGCACAATAGAGGATGGAGATCAGTGTATTGCGTTACCAAGCGTGATGCCTTCCGAGGGACAGCCCCAATCAACCTCACCGACCGGCTCCACCAGGTGCTCCGGTGGGCGACGGGATCAGTTGAGATCTTCTTCTCGAGGAACAACGCCCTGTTCGCTGCCCGAAGAATGAAGTTCCTTCAAAGAGTAGCATATTTCAATGTGGGGATGTACCCTTTCACATCCTTTTTCCTCATTGTCTACTGCTTTCTGCCTGCAGTCTCTCTGTTCTCAGGGCAGTTCATAGTCCAATCCCTCAGTGCAACATTCCTCATCTTCCTACTCGCCATCACCATCACTCTATGCCTGCTCGCCATCCTCGAGATCAAGTGGTCAGGGATCACGATCCACGACTGGTGGCGAAACGAGCAATTCTGGCTAATCGGGGGGACAAGCGCGCACCCAGCAGCGGTGCTGCAGGGGCTGCTGAAGGTCATAGCAGGAGTGGACATCTCATTCACATTGACATCAAAATCAGCCACACCGGAGGACGGGGACGACGAATTCGCCGACCTATACGTGGTGAAATGGAGCTTCCTGATGGTGCCTCCAATCACAATAATGCTGGTGAACATGATTGGGATTGGGGTGGGAGTAGCAAGGACACTGTACAGTCCATTTCCAGAATGGAGCAAGCTTGTAGGGGGAGTGTTCTTCAGCTTCTGGGTGCTGTGCCATCTCTACCCCTTCGCTAAAGGACTGATGGGGCGTCGGGGGCGGGTTCCAACGATCGTCTACGTTTGGTCCGGGCTTCTGTCGATCATAATTTCGCTGCTTTGGGTCTACATTTCTCCTCCTTCTGGGGCAAAAGATTATATGAGATTTCAATTTCCTTGATCGAAATACGAGAATTTGGTTGTGAATCATCATTATATCTCTCAACTTCGTGTTGTATTGTATTGGGGAAGTAGACGTATAGATAGATTGGCTTGTTTGCTTTGTGTTTTTGTGTTGAAGGGAAGAAGTTAGATTGGATTTTGTTTAAGTAGTAGTAAGCTTCCAATTTGTTTTGTAATTCTCTCTCCATATATATATATAGTAAATGTGATGAGAAGAAGAATATGGTCTTCTCTTGGGATCTTATTTTGGTTCATTTTTTCAAGATTGTGCATCATTTTTTCTGTAGAGTAGCCATCACTGGAAAATATAGAATTTAAATCAATTGTTTTTTATTTTTTTTAATGAGGTAATGAGTTGATGTTTTCGACTTAACTATTATTGTGACACTTGATTGTATTAACGATAGAGAAAAAGTAGAAGAAAATAGGTAGACTTTTCTAAAGAGATGATACTCTGAATTTGTGAGGCTTAGTTGGAACTAAATTTGAAACTTTTAAAATGAACAAAATCGAAATTATGTCCGCATGACATGGACTAATTTAGTAAATTAACATATATTTAATTAAATATATGATAAGTTAAATATAAATTGGCAATCGAATTGAAGAAGAAAAAAAATAAAAAAAAAATAAAATCAATTTCATCTCTTAACTTTCAATTAATAACTTCGTTGGTTTAATATTTATGTGACCTGCTGATGCGTGTGACAATTAAAGCGTGTTAAGTAGACTAATTTTAAGTAGGGCCACCAAACTAGAAAAGCCAGGGTCTCAAATCCCTAATCCCATCCTTTAATGGGCTAATGGACTAGATATGATACTTTGGGGTTATTTTAACAATTTGCTCTACAAAGTACTATTTTGGTAAATAGCCCCGAAATAATTGAACCATTTGGGTCAACTTTCTAAAGATGCATTATATCCAAAATAAATTGAAAATCTATTCAATCAGAATTATCCTACTCCTATCCTTATCCTATTAACTATTATTACCATAATTTCAAACACTTGGTAATTAATTTATGTTTTTCATAGATTAAAGTGCATATATTTAATACACGTGTGAAGTTAAATTGATATTTCTTAAAAGTTTTGGCTATTTGTTAGCATGGTTTTAAAAAGTGCTATTTATACACCCCATATTATAAAGAGTGAAAAAGATAAAAGAAAAGTTAAATATTTTACTTCTTTAGGAATTCGAATTTTATGATCTTTTGATCGAAAATAGGTATTTTTAACTAGTTGAGCTAAGCTAAAGTTAACAAAATATTTAGCTCATTTAAACTTTATACTTAAATGTCAATTTGAGCACAATTCGATTGGTTAAAGCATTTTTTTCAATCAAGATTTATCTTCAAGGTTTCACTATCTCCTTCCCTCAACAAGAGATGAAACCTTCAGATTTAAAATTGTCTTCGGATTAATTATTTGATTTCCAACGGAAAGAGTCCAAAACTTCCTTGAATGGTCTTTGTCCAAGGAACTGAGAGGTGGTGAATTCAAATCTCCAAACCCATACATTACGCAATTAATATTGAGAATATTCTCACTAGACAATCCAAACATAACTCAAGAAGATTAGAAGATTTGATCCACCCCCAATAAATTTTTTAAACCAAAGAAGAAACCCTCCCGGTTGGTCAAGTGTGCAAGATGGACGACTATTTTTGCAGGGCAATGTTCTTCCAATTGTGGGTGATCTTAGTTGGATTTATGCATTTTCAATCCATCGAGCTACATTTTCCTGTTGCAAAGAAGTCCTCTCTATCCACTTCTGTAATTCACAATCTCTAGTTGATACGATTATAACGAAGAACTGAATCCGATATAATCGAGTCTAGTTATCAATGGTGGAGAAAACTATGAATCAATCAACTGATACATGGTCGATTTACTTGAAGTTAGTAATCAAACCCACTCCCAATACAGTCAAATAAATTTAATGGATTGTGTTATTCAGATGATTAGATGCTAAAAGACATGAAAGATTAAATTGAATCCAGAGCAAGAAAACAACTGCTGCAACTAATGACACAAAATAAATCTGATTTTACAATCAAGTTTGAAAACCATCATTTTTTTTAAGTATAAAATGAATGTGTTATACCTCCAGTGATGCTTCCATCACATGGACGACAATCGGTTTTAAACCAAATGGGCACGATCCTTTGTTTAGATTACATCTGAAAGAGAGATTAATTAGTGAGAAATCTAAGATTCAAGAAAATACACAAAACTAATGGAAAAAGCCAGACAAGAGAGAGAGAGAGAATATTTAGTGAGAAATCTAAGATTCAAGAAAATAAATTGATAAAACTAATGGAAAAGCCAGACAATAGAAGGATTTTTGGTCCCCTCATTTTAAGATCAACTCCCTGGCTGTTTCTAGCTGTAAAGGCATCCAAAGTCTTCTCTTTTTTGAGAACTACGAGCATGCGACTTCACACCTTCGGTATACTAATCTTCCATCTCCACCCATTTTGTTCCCCCTTCCCCACTACTTTTTTTTAATCATCTCCACCCATTTTGTTCCCTCTTCCCCACTACATTTTTTTTAATATTCTCGAGTGGTCGGGATAGCTTTCATGCACCTTCACTAATCTCAAGACTACTACTTGACCTTATAATATTTGGTTGCCAAAAAAACTCGTAGGACTTTAAATCTTAGATAGGTGGCCAATATGGTCTGAATTCATTTCTGCTAAAATCCGTTACCCTTATATTGGCTCCAATGACTATTAGGCCATCCAAACGTAATTTTCTTTTCCCCCACTAATTTAGATTTCTATTAATATATCTATTACAGAAATGGAAAAGAAAAAGAAAAAGAAGCAACATTAGGACATATCTGTCTTAAAATAATCACAAGAACCAGCTGGCATGACGGCATGAGCAAGAAGACTAAAGGGAGCAAAGGTAGAGTGTTTGCCCGCATCCTCAATTCAAAGACAAAGCAGAAAAGACTCAAATAAGAAAATTATTTTCATAATAAAGTTCAATCCAATCATGGATGTCCCTGCCACGTGTTACTTTATGACTCCACCAAACTTCACAATAAAGGCAGAAATTTCCAATATCTCAACCATCTATTTCTAAAATGTAACAATAAATAGAGTCTGAGATTAATTATGTAATTTATAATTGAAAGCTGATAAGGTGTCACATTACCTTGCTTGTAATGTCATGTTGTCAACATCCCGTAACTATTTAATTGGATAATTGACATCACAGACTAAATCGACATGTTTATAGAGAGTATATAGACGTAACAAATAAAAGTAGAAAAGTACAAAAATTAGAATCGTATAAACCAACATATTGCAAGATCTACTTCAAATAAAAGATTATAAAATATAGTATGAAGTATTCTGCATTGTACGAATATTATGCTATTAGAAAGTTTCTCCAATCAACCTATAGCCACATCAGGAGCCCAGACAACATGAAACGGTCCCCACACAAAGAACAATGAGACACATAGGGGGCCCCTCAACCTACAAGCTGTACTAATTTTAATTCCTCAACTTCTTTGTTTCTAAGCAGACAAAAGAGTATTAATAGCGAAATGGATGGATAAATCTGTTACTTCCTCCTTAATAAATCCACATACTTGGGCTACCATTTTGAGCTAGAGAAATAAACATAACATCACAAGAAATAAGGCGTGTAAATTAAAAGGGAGAGACTAAAGAAAAGCATATGGGTATGTGACCCCACCTCTATGCGGGCAAGGAAATAAGAAAAGGACACTGGGCCAATGGGTAGTTCACAAGTCACCTGCCGCTGCCACCGAATCCGCTTCTTTAACTCAAAAGACTCCATGGACTTTACTTCTTATCACAACCCCTTTAAGATTCTTCCAATTCTACAATTTGGTCCTCCAGCTGGCACAAATTGGAGTATTTTAGAAACAGCCATTCGGTCCCTTTTGGCCACTATTGGCAATTTAGGATAACTTTTTGTAATTTATGCACTAGCATTAAGCCTAAACCCACATGCCCCCCATGTTTTCTTGATACCCTTCTTCCGGCTCTCAAAACGTATATCAAACTTTATGAGATCTTAGCTATAGAACACAGACATTTGGGTTAAGAAAAGTGTCAAATATGCCTAATGCTTGTGAATTCAGCACCAATTTGAACAGAAAAGCCCTTGTAAAAAGTGGTTCTGGTGTGCATGCCTATAAAGTTATGTTCCGTTGCATCAATCTAAAACAATTCTTGAAATAAGTCAAGTTGAGAGACAAATATGGAATGGCAACCGTACCTTTTAATAAGGAGAGGAGAGGAGATTCCCCAGAGCTAAATATGTTGTTTAGATGGAGCCAGAATGCTGCAGCAAATAATCTGTGTTGGGCCAGCCAAGGAAATTCGATGTCTATAAAGCACAACTCGATCACTTCAGGCAAGACCACCATGTGAGGATTGGGGATGGCTACTTGATATATAATCATACCCGACTGGCAAAAGCTTAAAAACAGAGAAAAAAGACTAGACATGCTTGATCGGTAATTCAATTATATGGAAAACCATCATCATGTGTCCATTCATAAAAGAATGCAAAGTCTGTACAAACAAATCGAATAGCCCGTTTTTTCCATTCTTATTTTTCAGACCCAGGAAAAATCGTAAAATAGGACACACATCGCCTGGAAGATGAGTTAGAAATAAGCTCAAAGTAACTGGAGAGAGACGGAAACAAAGAAAATTATAGGACTAAAATTGGAAAAATTATCTTGAAAGCGTCAAAAACAGTCCTGCTGGGAAATTTACCGGCGACCTCTCGTATATCCCCTGAAGTTTTTTCACAGTGTGTGTCCGTACAAGTCGTATGGTGACCATAGAGCATCCAGTGGGCATGGTTGTTTTGAGTCCAACCTCAGCCATGGCTTCCCGCTGCCGGACCAATGCAAGAGGCTCGTCGGACCCGGGTGGAGGTTGCGGCAGCTGCCTCTAACGTTATCACCTCCTAAGCCATGCTGGTTCCACCGGTGCTCTATGGTCGCCACGTTTCCGGCGAAGACCAACAGGAACGGCGGCAGTGACCCGAGTTCGTAGATGCGATTACTCTTCTGAAGCTTCATCCACCATTCAATCTTCTCCGTGTACCCACCATTCCTCCACTTAACCAGATCTATGACCATCACGCCGGTGTTGAAATAGCAGGGTTTTCTTCCGGCAAATGTGCCAGAAAATCTCTCATCTGACCAGAAACGCGCCGTGAAATACTTGCTGAAATTGGCGTGGCAGTACACAGGAGCTCCGATTGTCCACTCTCCCAAGTTCGTTGTCCATAGCTTTCGGATATCATCCACCACAATAAGATCAGAATCCAGGTAAATTACCTTCTTAACACAGGACTCGAGCAACCCAGCCAAGTAATTTCTAGCATAATTGAGCGGCTGCTCCAGCGCCTGCCTCACCGATGTGGATATCAGATTCCGCACAATCTCCGGATCGAAATAGTACACTTTGAAATTCAACTGAGGGAAGGTGGATCGCACGAAGTCTTCGAGATTGGTATCCGAAACGAGAAAATGAAAGAAAACACTCTCCGGACAGAGGGAGTTTCGAAGAATCGAATTGACGGCCGCAACCGAACCACGAAGGTACTCCACATCAAGCGTAATGGCTACATGAACCAAATTCGGATCGCACACACCGAACCTCCCAGAAAATTTCGAGTCACCGCCACCGCATTGACCGGCATTGCGAAATGTAGATGCCTTCCGGAAGGAGAATCGGTTCAACGACCTCGAATAGGCGGTATCAACAGGTAGACGGAGGTAAAAATCGAGATGAGATGACCGGATGGCTTCCGCCGGAGGAAACGATTGCAAAGCCGGAGCAAGCACAATCATCACCATTCCAGCGGAGAAAACCCCCGATAACCTCATCAGCCAAAGCATATTCACACAGTAAACCCCCCTATTTTTGTTCTTCCTCCACTTGAAACCAAATGGATCAGCCAGAATCGACGAAAAACACGTTCGAAAGAACGCTAGGGTTCCTTTAATGTCCTCCAGAGCTCTCGAAAATCAGCATATCAACAAAACCCCCAAATATAGCCTCCAAACGAGATCGAATCGGGCTTCCCCCTCCACGAGTGCGCATCAAAGCAAAAAGAAAAAGATATGCCGTGGGAACAAAGCAAGAAGAGAGAGGATAAAAAGGGAAGAGGAGGAGAAGAAGAAGAAGAAGAAGAAGAAGAAGAAGAAGATTATGATAAGAACGAAGTAGAAGAAAACATTGAAGAAAAATGGGGCGCGGCGGCGGATTGTGGAGTTTCGCCGGCGGTCGGTCTGCAGAGATTTCTCTCTCTTCCCTCTATTACTCTGTCGGTTGCAGAGCAATGGAAGAAGACAAAGCTGCAGACGCACAAAGTGGTAGAGTGAAGAGACCTTTTCTTTTCTTCCGACCCCCACATGTCCTCGATATTAATTATTAAGTCTTTGGGGGCTCTTTTGTAATTTTGTTATTATGCCAAGTTTTTATTTGGTACCCTAAAATTCCAAATCAAAATATCTCCATTTGTTTTATATCTTTCCCTCCAGCCTCGATCAATTCTTCTCTTGGAAGATGACTACAAATTGGAAATTGGAAATTGGAAATTGGAGATTGTTTTATTGTGAATTTAAATATTTTTGGTTTTTTGACCGATTGTTTTATTTTGGCTTAGTGTCAACAAGGACGCGAAAAATTAGCTAAAAATATGTTCAACTGTGGATTCTAAACAATTGGATGGAATCTGACTATGGGGAATTGAGACCAGAGGCTACCCAGTGGAGGGAAGTCATGATGTGGATGGAAGATGTTACAAAATTGATCAACTCCGCGAACCTCGAACTGAGGATGACTCGACGAACGAGTTGGAGATGGGTTGAGCAGGAAACCTCAAAAGCAGAACACACCTTGATGCTAAAGTTAGTAGCTGACAAGCTAAACTCGAGAGAGAATCTGGTGCGTGTATCTCAATACGGAGCAAATGAGTCCTATTTATAGACAACTACCCCGACAATATTCCCGACAATGCCTCAACGACTCTTTAAGATGGCCGTAAGTCGCGGCCTATTGTCGTGGAGTAAGTAAAGTAATTCGGTTCAACCAATAAAGGTGAATGCGACTTTAAGGAAACTTGATTGGTTCGGCCATACAATACATCTACTCACTTTAGGGAGACGAGACAAAAGTGATAAAGCTTGCATCTTATCAATCAAAGTCATGTGTAACCTCCATTATCCAATCAAGATGTGCCACGCGTGAGTTGAATCCACCTCGAACAAAAGAATTGAGGATGGGGTAAGAGCTTAAACCGGACACCATGGCAAGAGATGTGAATGAGAACAATGTATTTGTGAAAATGTCGTTTGAGTTATTGCAGTGACAATATCAGCTAGCAAGAAAGATAGCAACAACATATAGTTTGGCTTAATTGCACTCAATCAAAATTAGGGAATTTAGTAGAATGTATGAGGAATGAAACGTAAGGTTAATAAGGTACATAATTTTGCATGCTCATTGACACTAGCAAAAGGTTAAGATAAAAGCTTATTTCAAAAACCAAGTCATATTTTATTTTAACCTAAATTTTTAGTCAGTAAAAAATCCAATATTTAGAGAGAAGAAAGAAAAATAAAAATATGAGTATTATTCTATCATATTGACATTAATATTGATAACTTAGATATATATATTTTAGTACAAAGTTGAGGTAGGATTTGAATTCATGATCTTTTTGTCATAAGTGTCAATTACTGTTAAACTGTATTCAGGTTGCATTTAACTTATATTTTAAGTGCATATATCAATTAACTTAAAATCAAATACAAGAATATGGTTACATTTAATTTTGAATTGATGATTTATTTTATTCAAAACTAAAACTATGAATTCAGTTTTAAAATAAATATCTTTTTCTTAAATTACATCTTTTGGGAAAACTATTTTTCTTAAACTTTCCTTCTTGGCCAGTTTGGGAGCATTTTCAAATTGAACATCAAATTTAAATTCTCCTTCCTTCTTTTTTTAAAAACTTTCTTTATTTGTATCTGATGATTTTATTATTAATTTGAGTAATGAATTTGAAAAATCTCTTATTCAGCTCTCCATATATCATTCATTATATTCTCACTTTTAGTAAATTTTCAAAATTCAATTTGGCCCAAAATCTTGCCTTCCATAAAAAGTATCTCTCTTTTATTTTGCTCTCTCTCAGGTATCACTTGGATTTTTTAAAAGAATTTGATTAGAAAATTACTAGTGTTGTTAGTCTTTAAATATAAGAATTTGTAAGTCAATTGTTTGTTGTAATTTTGTACTAATCTTTGTTCAAAGGAAACTTTTAAACTAATTTACAATTTAATAAGAAATTTTTTCCCTACTCGTCAAAGTCAAAGTTACCCTAGAGTATTGGGGAGATGAATATTATATAGCAAAATAATAATAATGAATAAAATTGTTACTTTTTGAAAGTTACAAACATTAAAATAGATGTCTATTCAAGCATAGTTCAAATACTTATTGTCCTTTCAAACGTTTATAGTTGAATATCTTATCTCACAGTAGTTGAACTTAAATGAAAAAAAAAAAAATAAAACGGACCTTTTAAGAGTCCAATAAATTATTTTTCTCTCTATAAATTGGAGTAAAACTCATATTCAATAATCAAAATAAAATATTTCATTAATTATTCATCCGCTCTCGTGTCAAAATCTATACCAAACCAATTTTCTAATCAATTTAACTCAAACATTTTTCTCATAAAATAAACAACTCATTAGCAATATAACACGACTTTAGTATAAAAATTAAGATAAAGTTTTATAACCACACATTTTAAAATTTTCCTAACTTAATAACAAAACATCATAGGTTAGTGAAAATAAAAAAATGCCACCACATCATAAATACCATAAGAAGTGTATAAGCCAATGAGTTCTGACACTATCAATTATTTTTTTTCCTTATTTTTTTATTTTATATTATTGGTAGGTGGGGGTTAGTTAATTTCGATTGTATGTTATTGACTGTTCCAGAAATTCAGCAGACATCAAAGTTAATTGAATCTAAATTTCATAAAAGATATGCTCATATTTTTGCAAATCTCTTCTTATTTTATCTAATTTTATTAAAAATTTATGGTTTTGAGAGGAAGGTTTGTGTTTATGAAAAATGGAACAAAGTCATTCAAGGTCGGACATAAACTCGTTGACTTGGAACATTTGGGGATGACCTTGTGCAAGAGGGCAAACTCTCCGATGCTCAAGTCAGTAAAACAACTCGGACTCAATAGTAATTTCGAGGAGAAATTCCTGGTGTGGTGTCCTCTATCTATAGGTTAAGGATCCTATAAAACTCCCGACCGCGATTGTTCTTGTCGAATAGCAAATTGGACATGTCGAATTCGACATGTCGGTATCTACGATCGAACCCTTTCTACGAATAAAGTAGAAGATAAGTAGCTAAGTGTCCTACCTTGAACGGTTTGAAGTCGACCTATCTTAGAATACTGCACAAATACTGTTAGACGCTTCTTTATCCTCCATGTGACTGAGCGATTTTCCTCCCCAAACATTATTATTGTATATTATTTACTATTCCAGAAATTCAGCAGACATAAAAGTTAATTGAATCTAAATTTCATACAAGATAAGCTCATATTTTTGCAAATCTCTTCTTAATTATTTTATCTAATTTTATTAAAAATTTATGGGTTTGAGAGGAAGATCTGAATAGATTTGGGTAAGTTCATAAAATTCCACACAAATAAGATTTTTTTTTATAACTTTTCTGGCCGTGGTTTAATTTTGTATTTTGGTTAGCTGATAAGCATATTTATTAAGAACAAATCTACAAACAAACACAGATATTTTAATTTTCAAATATTAATTCTACCAATTATTGGAACACACTATTTATTAGTCATCAAACATTCAAATCTTAAGTTAGATATTTAACATCTCTATCCATGAAATAAAACTTATGATCCAAAATTCCAAACTGGCCATAAGAAGTTCAGAACAAGGAGATCAAATATAGAGTGAAAATTTTGTAGGGGAAAGAAGAGAGATTTCTCTGGTTCAACGTTGGTGCAAGATTCTCATGTGAGTTATGTTGGACTAAAAAAATACAACATGATAAGTGGACCAAGTTGGATAAGATCAAACTCGTCCAATCAAACTAAGGGAGAAGACCGACCTACCACATAGACCGAGCTAAAGGCCAACCCAACTAGAGAATCACCCAAGTTTTCTCTAACCGACATGAGGAAGTCAACCTAGGGCTCAACAGTCGACTCCTCTGGCTGCCTATAAAAGTTGCTCTGTTCACTGGAGTACACAATTTTGTTCCGAGAATTGTTGGATTTGTAAGAGTAATGCAAACAAAGTCTCACATTAGATATATAAGATAGTACACTTATCTGCATTTGTATGAGGCCTTTTAAGTAGAACCAAAAGAAAAGCCGTGAGAGATATACCAAAAGCAGACAATATCATACAATTTGGAAATACTCAGGTACTATGGGTATCGTTGTCTTTAACGAGTGGTATCAGAGCTATGGTTTAAACCTAGTCGAGTTGGTGAATCTTTGAGTGCCGAACAAAGAAGTTGATGAGTCTCAGAAGATGTAGTCATGGTATAATTCGTGACAATTATCACTATTAGTACGAGGCTTTTTGGATGGAACCAAAAAGCAAAGCTGTGAGGATACTAAGGATGTACCGTTATTTTTAACAAGAACGACCTATCTAAACAAGTCGACTTGAACGTCAGAGTGTCTGTTTCATTTTTTCAAATTCTATTTACTTAAAAGGTTGCATCCTACATCAACAAGTTCATCAGGAAGTCCAATTTTTATAATCATCTGAGTTCGATGGTTTGATTTCTACCTTAAAAACTTGTGAGCATAACAGTTACAATAATTATATTTTGTCAGGGGTCCAATATTTTAGCAAAAAATATATATAATTGTTATGACATCACAATCTTCTCTGATGTATGGGAGCAGTTATATTCATTTAATCTTGAATATGGAAAATATTAAGAGATAGCCTTCACCAAATAAAGCGACTTGCGACCTGTCATTTAACTAATATAATAATAATAACTTGTTAAGAAATGTATTTAAATTTGCAATATATATATGTTATAATAATCTTTTGCAAAAAAAAAATAATAATAATAAAATTAATCTAAGGGAGTAGAAAAAAATATTTTGGATGATTAATTTAAAATGAAATTAATTTTTTTCTTTTTGTTTACCTTTGGAAAGGTTTCATTTCTGTTTGGATTATTAAGTTTGGCTGCTCTTCTTTTATGTTTGAAAATTTTAGGTGTGCGAAAAGTAAAATGGTTTGTGTGTGTTCTCTTAAGACGATAAAAATATCTGAATTTACTATTTTTTGTAATAAAACTATTTAT